AGTGGCCCATAGTTCGTGTCACTAGGCCTTGTCTCGACTTATGAATCTTTTTTTGTCTTCGGAGTTGGGTGCGTCTCCAATCATGTTGATGCTGCACGGATCGTAGAGTGGTAACAGGACTGGATCCTATTGCCGCTTCCAACACTCCTCCTGAGGCCTGTTGTTCTTTGATCGTGATACGTTGATCGATGATTTTTTTTAACGTCGGGGTAGTTTGAACAAACATGGCTCGGAGTTTAACCACTCACAGATGGTGCTCCTCCTGCATGTGGAAACTCCCCATAGTCTATTGCTAACCTAATTGACTAACTGGTTTAGAACTTTGTCTTACTTCTACGGTGTCTGAGGTCTTCCAGCGCCGTTAGTTGTAAGGCATCGCATAATTCCAGGAAGCGGGGTTTTGGAAATGCTTTAGTGTTGATGTCCGCCATCTGATATTGTGATCGAATAAACACCAGTTTGATTCGTTCTTCTTTGAATTGATGTCGAATGAAATGGCATTCCCAATCTAAGTGTTTGATTCAAGCATGTTGGACTCGATTCTTGGCCAAAGCGATGCAGCTCTGGTTGTCACAGTACATGACCACGGGAGTTACAGTACATGACCATGTTTGTTGAGTGGCATACCGATGTCATCAAAGAGATTGTGTAGCCACAGGGCTTCCTTGGCTGCTTCAATACACGCACGGTATTCAACTTCGGAGCTTGATTGTGCTATTTCAACCTGCAGTTTGCTGCTCCAGGACACGGGTCTACTACCAATGCTGAAGATGTAGCCCGAAGTCAACCTTCGTGCATCAGGTTCACCTTGAAAATCACTATTGGAGTAACCAGATGGAATCACCTTCTCTCCCTTTCGATAGAGAATTGCAAGATCGGTTGTGCCTTCGAGGTAGCAGAAGACATGAATGGCTACTTCGAGGTGAGCTGCTCAGGGTGCCTGGGTGAAACGAGTGAGAACTCCGATGCGAAGACGATGTCAGGGCGGATGTTGTTCAGGTGGAGCAATTTTCCAACAACGACCCAATAGTAGGTGGAATCGGGTAGAAGAGAGGAGGCCATGTCGAAAGATAGCTTGACTATGGGACCCAAAGGAACCGCGGTGATCAAGCTCGTGAGTAAGCCCAAGTCGTCGAGGCAGCGATGAATGCAGCGGGAGTGAGACATGAGTATGCCAGCCAATTCGTAGTGAAAAGTAACGCCGAGGTTCATAGCCAAGAGCCTAAGCATGGACGTTTGAAACTCGGATTGGAGGCGGGTAGCTAGACACTGGAACTTGGTGGGGTGACTGCCGGTAAGTAGAAGGTCGTCAACATAGATGATGAGGAGGACCATGCCGTCGGGGTCGATGTACACATAGAGGCTAGGATCAGCACATGATTGGGTGAGGCTGAGAGTGTGGAGGAATGTGTCCAGCCGAGCGTTCCAGGCGCGAGGTGATTGCCGAAGTCCATTCAAGGCCTTGCGAAGTTGGTAGACGTAATGCTTGGAGCTGGGTTTGACAAAGCCAAGAGGTTGGCGAACGTATGCAACTTCGGTGATATGACCATTCAAGAAGGCGACCTTGACGTCCATGTGCATGAGCATCCATCCGCACTGAGCGGCCAACGAGACGATGCTGCACATTGTTGATCAGCGGACGACATGAGAGAAGGTTTCGGCAAAATCAATACGTTCAAGTTGCGTGTTTCCGAGCTCAACCAGGCGAGCTTTGTGGCGGAGAGGACGACCATCGGCATCAGTTTTCATGGATTCAACACAAGCGAGGGCGTCGGTAACACAAGTGACGGAGGCCACATAATTATGGAGACGGGTACTAGGGATTGGAATGCGTGAAGAGCAGCGAGGAACAGAAGGCGGGGTTGCAGTCGGGGGCTCGATAGGACGGGTAGAGCATCTGTGGTAGGTAATAACATGTGGAGAGGTAGGAGTGGATTCATCTGAACACGAGGACTCAATTGGAGGAATGGGAAGCAGTTCGGCTGGAGGGAAGGCCGGTGTGAGAGAGGGAGTATTTGAAGGGGTAAGGATGGGATCAAAGACCTCGATGATTGTAGACTGATCTGAGAGAGGTTCTAGTGCTACGGAGGGACCATGGGCAGTAGAAGCGGAGGGAGTGTGCCAGAAACGGCGTTCAATAAAGTGGACATCTCCATTGATGTGAATGCGGCAAGTCCCAGGTTCATAACACTTGTAAGCCTTGGTTTCTTCAGAGTAGCCGACAAGTATGCATTTGGTTGTTTTGGAATCAAGTTCGGAGCTACGTTCATCTGACTTGTGTACGAAAACTAAACAACCAAAGACACAAAGGTGATGAAGGTGGGGTGGTTTTTTGAACAACCTCTAGTATGGAGAGAAGCCGGAGTTGGTGCGTGTTGGGGACCGGTTGGTTGGGTAGTTAGCCGTTCCAACAGCCTCCGCCCACAGGTATCGAGGGGTACAAGCCTCCAAGAACATGGGGCGCGCTTTTTCAATAAGAGTACAATTTTTCCGCTCTCTTATGCCGTTTTGGCTAGGGGTGAGAGCCTAGATGAGCTCCCGATGAATTCCAGTTTCTTGAAGGAAGGGAGTGAAAGAACCGGAGAGAAACTCTCCACTCCTATCGCTGCGGAATCTGTTAATGGATTGATACAGTGCTAGCTCAGCATGTGATTTGAAAATTTTAAAGCTCGCAAGGGTGTCTGGTTTCCTTCGCAAAAAATATATCCATGTATATCAGGAGTAGAAGCTTCATTCGTACCTTCAAGCTCGATGGAATATATCCATGTACATCTGGTAGTTCATTCCATCGAGCTTGAACGGCTCGGGAAGAGAATCTGTTGCCATAGAAGTTTACACTACTATCACTCTAAGAATCGACTTAACACCGGTCACACTGATCGTTCAACATACTAACACTTTCAACACTTGATCGCGTATGCATCTAGCGATAAAGAAAATAAGGATGACTACTCAACCCGGACTGTGGTCCAGAGAGAAAAAAGACAGTCACTATTACTAACACATACCCTGTCCAAGAAAGACGGCTCCTCGAGCTCTAATACCATTTAGAAATCAATAGTAACTTAACAAAATGTGTTTGACCACACAGGTAGGTGGTTCTGTTTGTATTTGCAAATTCATAGGTGATCACATGAGGTAGTTATGAGTTATGAGTTATGAGTTACTGTACTAACAAGATCGTAGAGTGGTAACAGGATTGGATCCTATTGCCGCTTCCAACACTTCCGAGTGATGGTGCACAATTCATGCCACTCGTGGGTGTCTAATAGATCGCTGAAAAACACAACTGCTGCTGAAACGAAGTGCCTGAAAAAAACTTTCACAGCTGTATTCAATTCCATCAGGCCGAAGGAAAACGAGTTTGTATAACATCACTGCCCTTTTTCGGGGTCGGCGATCTTTCCTGTGATTCATGATTTTCTTAGTCGATGCATGCATCAGTACGTTGTACTCAATGATGTTCGTTTGTGAGCATTTTCGAATCTGACTTCTTCTGAAGCTAGACGTCATTGATCATGTCCTCTGCATCTTACCATTCATCACCTTGTCCAAGACCTTTGATCTTGTTGCCCTTCTCCATGGAATCGAAGAACATGAAAACTGATGCAACTCACTAAACACTGATGAACAGTGCGTGATAATTGCACATGATCGAACATGCCATCCAATGCTCACGATCACTCTTAGAATGGAACATCCAAATAGATTGATCGAACGGTTTTGCCCAGATATGTACCAAACCGTTTTTACTGACGGCAGAATCTTCCTACCCTTTCACATGTTTCGTGTGCGGTAGCACAGATCCTCTAGATGGCACACGGAAATCTTACTAGACATTAATCTCGATCAAACTTCAGCACTATGACATACAACACAGGAAGAACGCTCGGCCCCACGAAAAGCAGTGGTGGAGTGAAGGCAGTCTGATGAATGTGAAATCCTCACCAATTGTGCGGAGTAGGCAGGACAATATCCTAGGAATTCAGCCACAGAGATGCAGTTGAGCACTACTTTTAGCAACGCCCCGAAAACTCCGAGCCTCGTCATTTTTACTCCACTGAAACAATCCTGCCGTATTATTCAACTCGCTCTTCAGTGTCTCTTGGTTCTCATTAAAATAAAATAAAAGAAAACATAGTTCACTCAAGCTCAATATTAGTACTCAAAACAACCGAACTAGTATACTGTGACAAATTGTTAGTGAGATCGTTTGTCAGTTATCAAGATCATTCCTGATGTTGCATCTGTGATCACGTCGTCCACATTCTTTTTCTTCGCAACAACCGAGATGGCTGACCTGTTCTGCTCTACTGTGATAAATGCGGAGTTAAACTGCTCAGAATTGACCTCACGGATCAGGCATCTTTTTGAAGTGTAGTTTTTTCATATCTTTTCCTTTTGATTGATTTTATCCTAGGTTACGAACATTTCATCGAAAAACCTAGTCTAAATTCGTAGAAGTTTCTGTAGTTACAGAAATGGTAACCGAAGTGACGATTCACGATCATTTCCTCCTTACTAATTCACAGTTTTTTGTCATATGTCATGGTGTCTGACAGCAAAACTCCTCCTAAACACAACTACGCTATGCAATACGGTGAAGAGGTTTATTTCACGTACTGGACTGTTGTGTTTTACATCAATTGCTATTATGGTATTGGATGGTCGTCATTGACATGGTGAATCATTTTTTGATTTAACCAACTGTTTGATAGATAAACAATTTGATTTTGTTTTAAATTTTCTAAAATAATAGTGAGAAAAGCGGCAACATCAATTTTAAATACAACTTCACGCCTCAAAACAACTGCTACATATTGATTGGAAGATAGTGAGATAATATAAATGCAATTACTTGCTGCTAGCCATCGATACCATTTTGATTGTTTTCATTCAAGGCAATAATGCACCAGAGACCACAGCACAATCTCTAAGGCATAAGCAAGACTAACTGCACACAAAATTACGACAAAGCATGCACGAGAAAACTCATGGGGTTGGGGAGAAAAAATTGTCTATTACCAAATTGGTTGAGGGCATGCTTCTTGCAATGATTTAGATATTCGCATGGTACCATTAGGAATAGAGGTAGAAATTCTACGTTTCATTCCATAACCTAAGAAGATTTCAGAAACGAAGTTTGGTGAAAAACCACCTGTTCTTGCCAGTCTTGAACCTCTCCTCCAAAACAGCTTTCGCCCCCTGTCATCATATAATGACGAATTCGCAAGTCAATACAAAATTTAATCGGACCTATTTCGTTACTATTGCAAAGAGTTTTCTTGAGTGAGAAACTTCTAGAATAAACGAAGACTAATACCTTTCTGGCCTCTACGCGGCTAGCAGTAGACTCCAACTTGTCCGCTGTTACAGTAGATTTCAAATCCACATCCAAAGAGTACCTGCAACAAGCCATACTGAGAACTTCAGCGACAGTCGTAAATTTTGAGATCGACGTACAGACATCACTGATAACGCCTCTGGGAACTTTCATACACTGTGTGATGTTCAGAAAAAAATTTACAGTATAAATCTTACAGAAATAAGAGGATAAATAGATGAAGACTGATGCTAACTTTAAATAGATCAAAAATGAACAGTATGCTTAAAAATACAGAGCAGGCACGTAGTTAGATTCGACCCGTTCCAGCGGAGGATATGTTACAATTGCAGCCTTGTAATTATAAGAATGACTCGAGGCTGATATCAGAAACTGTCTGAGAAGTTACTATCAGATTATACCCAGTAATTAAGGTGATTTCAGCGAAACTCAGGTTTCTGTAGGCCTCCCATGAATCAGACGAACATGTCACGTAAGACTGGGATTAAAAAGAGGCACACATTTCCACACCTTTGCACAGATGAAAGCACGTTGTGTAGAATAAGGAGAGGTAATATGCAGAAGCTGAGGCCCGGGAACAGCCATGAGACCTAATTATGGAAGAGTGAGATGAGAGTCGGAAAGCATAGAAAAATGCACCTGGTCGGCATGATGTGGTTGTAGTTGACCACCTTAGTGAACGCTTTGACTCTCGAACGCTTGGCGATGGTCTTCTGAGACGCTTTCTTGATCACCTACATTCACAACACAAATGAAAAAATGATGAGTTTCCAACAAATCAAACATCCCATCAACATACAAATATCCTACAAAATCTCACATTTACTGAATCCTAAACAGTGTGCACCAGAGTTGAAGACTTCTACAGTGGAGTGAGACACAGTGAACTATATCAAAGGTTTAACTAAGCAGTAACACTAATGCCTAGAAAGACACTACCACACTGCATCCAGTAATACATCACACCTCCTGGAAGTTTCTGGAACTACCATGGTTCACGCAAGGAGGTGTAGGTAATATTACACTCAAAATGACACCAATCCACATACTTTTTCTTAAACCCCACAACTTACATCTCGTAGATGGTGTATTCATTGTTCTCAAAGTACTCCAGTAAGGGGATCCAAAAAGTAAACATATCAATCTCAAGGGCATGTGACATGAGATCTACGTGCAAATACAGCAGCTCGAGGATAAAACCAAAACACATCCGCAACACCCGCAAACTGGAAGAATTAATTTCAACGCAAAAAGGTATTTCCAGTACCCACAACACATATTCCACTCATCTGCAATCAGACCCGAAAGATCTTCAATTGAACATCACGATACACCAAAAGAACCTCCGAAGACGCGAAGAAAGCAGGGCCCATACCTTGCGGGGATACTTAGCAATTCCGCAGACGATAGCATGGCCGTAGGGGCGCTCCTTGGTGCCATCGTCGAAGTTCTTGACAATTACGGCCTTGCGGCCGGCGTACCGTCCCTGCAAGAGCACAACCACCTTGTTGGGCTTCAAAAACTTCACCATCGTGCTGAGCTTCGCGACGGTGACGCCCTGCGATCGGTGAAGGGAGGGAGAGCGATGGCAAAAGAGGCGTATTGCTTGGCAGTGTCGAGACCTAGAAGCCTTCCAGGATACCACTAGCCCTAAACCTAACCCTAATGCATGGGTACGTAACGTTCCCAACTTCGATGTTGTTCCCTAACCGGTGGGGACTCTGGATTGATGTCCGCCATTGGCTGGGGAAATCGATCGACGCTGTGGCGGGTATCACGCTTGATTAACAAAATGTGCACAAATGTTAACCATTGTTTCAGGGGCTTTACGTGAATACTTTCCAGTTGGATTAGAAATTTAAAAAAAATAAATTTAACTAGTGATCAATGGATTGAAGATTTTGGGAATTTTTCGAAAAAAGTTTTAAAATCAGTCTAAGAAACTCGATCTTAAATGATAAGTATTTGATAGGATTGAATACATTTCATAAACATGTGGTATTCTTGAGATGATAATTTAGTAGTTTGGAACTTGTATGATTTTTTTAAAGATGTTTGAATTGAATTTATTTAGAACTCAAGTAATGTGCCAAATATTTTTAAAAAATATCAGTAAGGAAACATTGAAAATACTAAATACATAAGGCATTAAAAACAGTTAATACATCTTACAACACCAACAACCTTAAAAAACATAACTTTTTCATAAATTTATTAAGCAAATAAAGACTTCATGCAAAAACAATAAACATACAATAATTTTTTTTATTTGTATTAAATATTGGCTAAAATTATAAATGTATGTTTTAAAAATATGTATAGGTCTTTGAGACAATTGCAGATAGTTTTCCAAAAATTATAATACAAACAAACCTTTGTAATATATATTTCTAATAAATGAGTTTTTTAAAAAACAACTAATAATTCAAAAAATGTTTTTAAAAAGGCGAGTGTATTTATTCATGAAATAAATATTGTATTATATTTGGGAAGACTTGAAGTAGTGCCACAAGTATTGAAGAAATATCAATGACTTATCAGAAATATTTCCGTCTAATTGCATATCAAATAAATGATTTATAGGTTTCATTTGTCCATGGGTGATTTCACCACCTTACTACCACAATTTCGATAATAATTAGATCGTGACATATTTTTAATTTTTACTTAATCTTATTTTTCTCCTTATTCTAAGCACATTACTACATTCTTGTTAAGGACGATTTTTTTAAATTAAAAATTTATAGCTTTCTAGAGGACAATTAATTCACAAAAAAAAAAAAAAAAAAAAAAAAAAAAATTGTAGACTTTTAGATAATTGGTTTGAAGAAATCAGAGCAGAAATTCATAATTATAATAATTATACTCAAATATTAACGTGTTTATTGCAACAAAAAATGACACACAGTGCTTTAAGCAAACTTAATTGTATAAAATACACATATAATCCTGTTGTTGTTGCTTAATGACACATCTTAAATATTTTTTCTCATAATCGATTGCAAATTTGGGTATTACCATATATATAATTGAAAAAAATCATGACTAATTTCGAGATTTTTAATGAAATTGAAAATAATAATTACAATTGTGGCTTGCAAATCAATAATAATAGTTTTGGTAAATTGTTAAGAAATTAGATGGGATGGAAAACCTATTATTGATGGATATTCATCCATTGAATAGAATGCAATAGTTTATTTTTACTTTCAACACTTATTAAAGATCATGACTTGGAAGATATCTCAATTGAGGTCGACCAAGTATTATGTACAAAAGAAAAATATGGGTTTAGAGTTACAAGCAACCTTGATCATTAAATTGTATGCAAGATGCTATTCTAAACTAACATATTGCTTATTTATCTTGATCATAAGTAGCAAAACATAGGTCAAGTAGGTTTCAAAACTAAGAAAATAATTAAGAATAAACTGTGTGGCCGAGGAGTATAAACACTCTATTGCAACAAGTGGGAAGTGGGATTCAGTTGCAATATTACCCACACAAGGCAAATGCAAATCTAAATTATGATTGGTCAGTTGAAAATCTTTGAATATTATAGAGATTGTTCCTACGTTGAACACAATAAAATTCGATAAATTACATAAAACTCATATGGTGCAAGAGTGGTTTATTTCTTGCTTATGAACTTAATTCTATCAACGCAATGTCTTTCCATGTAGTAATAGCAAAATCCCATACACTTCCTCTTTTTATTTTACTTTATTTTCTTGCAAAATACTCACTTGAAATCCAAAACCAATAAAGGATTAAGAGAGGAGTTTTTGATCGTAAAGAAGTCATGACCATATAACTGCACACTCAAAAAGACTGCTACGTCCCAAAAAGCAATTGAAGGGTATGGTATTTTATTTTTATTTTTTTTTCCTTTTTCCTTGTTAAGGAAGTAATCACAATGTATAGGAAAATTTTAGAAAATTATAATGAAACAAAAAAAATGGGTTTTCCACTCTGGCTCCCCAGCTTGTGATCGTCTATAAAATCCAGCATTTCAACACCAGTTAAAATTGTAAAGGACCAATGGGTACCCTAAATCCATAGCTAGGTGAAAGAAGATTTCGCTAGCCATGGGCCCCACCTTTATCCGCGGGTGCGGCCACAGGAGGACATGCCTTTATCCGCTGCTTTGTCTGCAGCAGTGTGTGAGATTGCGGAGCTGCTTGCAGAGGGAGGAGCTCCAGCGACGCCATAGCCAGGCAGTCTCACCCACCATGGCCACAAGCTTCACCACGCCCACGGGACCCCTCCTTGCCTTCCCACCCACCTCTACACGCGCTCCTGCAGTCACTGCGGCCAGAGCTTCGGTGGATCACACCTCCACCACCACCACCACCATCACCACCTTGGTAGTCAGTGGCCATCGCGATGCCGCAGTCAGCTCGAACCGTGGCAGGGGGAATGCGAAGCTTGAGACCGAGTCACTTCTCGCGAGTGTAAAGGAGGATGCAGGCAGAGAGGATGAAGGCCACGGTGGGCAGGAATCGTGGAGCCGGAGAGGGCTCTTGGGAGCTGCGGCATTGGCCATGGTTGTCAGCTGCGCGAACCTCGGTTGCGAGCCTGCGCAGGCGTTCGAGTTCAGTCTTGGAATTTGTAAGGTTGGATTATGCCTTTTTTTTTGTTTTTTGTTTTCGTGTGATTGGAATTGGCTTCTGCTTTGCTTTGTATCATTATCGCGTGAATTAGTTCGAAGGTTTCTCGTGCTGCCCAGGTGCTTGAGGTGGTTATACTGACAGAGTTTTATTAGCCTAATGCCTTGAAATGGCAGCTGCACTGTAAAGTTCGTTACTCGTAAGATTCGCTTGGAGCAGATATCTAATTCATGAAATACTAGTTGAATTGCTTTCTCATTTGCTGCCGCTAAATGGGTTAGTTTAGAGATCCGTGTTTTGTTCATGAAGTTAGCTTTTACGGTTGATCCCTTCGAGTTTATCTCAATGCGTCTCAAAGTGCGTACGAAATTTCGGGTTCCGTATTAGTATCTTCGACTTGAGACGATATGCACTTTTGTGGGATGTGGGTTCTGACATGGGATTCTCTTCGATGGTCGGGTTAATCAGCTGGACCGAAGGATTGGTTGAAGGGCCAGAAACGAAAGACTGCCCAGTTTTTGTTGAACCCCATCGAAGCGTCACGCAGCCGGTTGTCTTCAGCTGTGCTTCTTCTCTGTAAGTAGGATCCCCCCCTGACATTAACATTGCTGTTATTTTTCCCACATGTCCTGATGTTTAACGTTCTTGGCTTTAGAAATTCTAGAGTCTAATCATCGATTTCGCTCCAGTCAGAAAAGAAGTTTTTCAGGGCACGTATTCACACAACCGACTAAGAGAAGCATATAAAACCAGAATAGTTGCATGCGTGAAAATGTAAATGGAATATTGCATAGGATTGCGTGATTCTGGAATATTTACTTCAGAATCCTAGAGTAATTTTTTTATGTCTTATCTTGCATCACAGCTTCAGCAGAAGGTTCCTCCTTCGAAAACTACGAGGAGGCAGGAAAGTTGGTCAAAGTTGCCGCTCGAGATTGCACTCCAAACGAGTTGGGATCAATCCTTGATTTTCAAACTCGAACAGGGGTTGAGGTTAGTTTTTGTTCTCAATATCTTGTGGTCAGGATCGCGAGTTGGCAGAGATTTTTGTAGCTACACCGAATATCTAGTGGAAACTCCACTGAAAGCAGCTCTACTATCCTCACTCATTTCTTACGTGCAGGTTTGCACTTTCAAGTTGGTGTTAAAGAATGCTGCATCACTGTTGTCCGATGATGACCCTGTTAAAGTGAGCGCTGTTGCTGCTCTGAATGACCTCATAAGGTCGGTATTTGCTCTCACCCCACGCTTTTAGCGTTCTTTGGATTCTACACGCCAGAGTTGTAGCATGGTAGTTACTAAGCTATTCTACAGATAGTGCATTACATGGATATAATGTGGTCTTTTTTGGGCTACGGTACTATCCTCCAGGCATTCTTTCTTTCGGTGAACGAGAGCTGTAGCTGTTTGTTTCAGGTCATTCACTACCGTCGATCAGCTTCTTTCAAGCGGTGGAGCTAGTGCTGCAACTCAAAGGTACCATTTCCCTCACCATCTCGTTATAGTGACTTGCCTTGAGAGTTACGTCTTCTTCAATTGGAATAGAGAAATTTCGACGTATTATTGATGACTGGATCTGCCGTGTGCAGAGAGGACGTTATGGGAGCATTGAAACAGACCATGGCAGCTCTGGACACTTTTCAGCAGGGTGTTCAGAACTGTCTAGATATTTGATTCCAAATCATTTTTTTTTTCTTACTCTAGTGTTGGCATCTCGGACCTCTGCCCTGGTGTTCCTTTCATGTGCAATGACATGTCTCGTAGATCTGAAGTTGCAATGGTTGTATTTGGCAATTTTATGAAACTGCCCAAGAGTCTTGAGGAAAATGCAAGTTATGTTGAATTTGGCCTTGCCAAAATACCCTTCATATTTTAATTGTTTTATTGGTTTGTAAACCAAGAAGACAGGAGAGTAGGATGCTACAAGGAGGTTGTATTGTAATTTTGAGATACTTAAGCAAGTTTTGGATGTGATATATGACATTTTGAGTGATCTTAAAATTCCAAAGAATTACTTCAAGATGCATCAAGGAAATTCAATATATTTGAAGGATTTAAGTTTAAGGATATTGCAAACCTGAAATCTAAAACGTGGAACTAAAAAATTGAGTCTTAAAAAGAAGTATTAAGAATCAATGTTGTTACCATGCATGTAAGTTAGATTATTGATTTGAAGTTATTAGCAATTTTTTTTGAAATATATAATATTGTGTTTATCTTTACCTCAATTATAGATTAAATATATATTTTATTATTCTTCTGTTTACATTAACAACAAAGAATCCACATTGTCTATTCGTAAATACCATTAAAACCAACCATCATTGTTATTTTATCAATACTTGGAACCAAATTTCTAAATTAAAATTTGCTTGTCTATTTTATTAGTTGTTTGAAAATATACTATTTTTTAAGAAACGAATATCTACAATATATTGCCAATAATAGAATTGATGGTGAAATTAAAATCTGAAAAAATACCAATTATGTTGATATAAGTTTTCAAATTACTTTTTGTTCATCTGACTATTATAACACTACTCAGCTGGAGAAACTCATAAGAATAATAAAAAATCTTGAAAATTTGGAACATTGAAATCCCATGCAATCAAAAGAGAGAATAGTGTAACGATTCCCTTTTATTTTATCATCTTGAAAAATCAGACCTTGAAAAATACACTCCAATATCCTCAATAGTATCAAATCAATCAAATTCAATCACCTCACTTGCTATTATCTAAAACTGGCAGAAGCATGCGCCGTTGAATATAAATAATTCCTATGATTTAGAGACAATCTCTCACTTTGAAGATATTGCTTGTGAACAAGTGAACTCCAGTTGCCACTACACAACTTTGAAAACATCTCTAGTGAGGATTTGTGTTCGGCTTTACCTCATTTCCTTAATTTGTGTCCATTTATCCCTTGTCTGTCTCCCTAGTGAGACCCATCCTTTCTAATTCTATTCACACAGATATCAATATACATGTTCAAAGTCTTACTGCTCTTATTTCACTCGTTGCAGGTTGCTCAGAGATGACCAGAAAGCATACTCTGATTCATGATTTCTTAAAATGACCACTGTGGAAATCTCAAGCATGTGAAATATATAGATATCTATGAGGTGAAACAAACCCCAGCACAAATTCAACCACAAGACGGACACTAATTCCACAGACTCCAACAAGCACAAGGACCAGTACCAACGAAGCCTTTTGTAAGAGGATAACCACGTCCAGGTAATGGTGATGTGATTTATGTTTTATCAATATGAAACACTCGAATAGACCTTTAATTGGATTGAACGTGAAGGTACACAAAAAGTTTAGAAACTGGACAGTAAGAATTAACACAGTTTGAACGAGAAACTCTAGCAAGTGTTGGCGATTTCTACAAGGAATTGTCCCTAGATAGCAAGAGACAACACGGTTAGTGATACTAACACAGAAACAATACACCAATCTGTTTGAATGAATTCATACTATTCTACAATGATGCTGTTTACAGAGCAAGATAACGAAAACCCACTTGGGATGGAAGTTCTGCCCTAATTTTTGACTGTGATCACGTAGTTCATTAGAAGAGCTGTGACCTCCGCAGCAACCTTGGCAGCATCATCGCTGAGGCGATTAATCTTATCGTTAGTCTCAGATTCCAGACGCTTCACATTTGCACCGGAGTCACCGCTGGAGTCCGAGAGCTTCTTCCGAAATTCAGCCTCCCGCTGTGCCCTGTACTGAGCCACTTCTCGCTCAGCTTCTTCCTTGGCTTGCCTAAGTCTAAGAACAAAATTGATGTTAGCTTCAGCTGCAATGGATAGCCGACATGGTCTTGAATACACAGTTGATGGGTGAAATATCATCAATCTCGAAACATCCTAACAAGACCTACAAGCCTACAAGCTTTGTGGGATCTGTAAGGTTTGTTAACTTGGAGGCATTTAGGCTTGTAATCCTGAAAGCAGGCCATTCAGACTTTCAGCTGGATTTTGAAGTCCCTGATCAAGCATATCCATACATTACGAAATTATATAAATTCGCACAGGGAGGGCAGCGCAATGCCCTAGCTCAATTAAACCAGTCAATCCAGTCGCTTCTAATCGATCGCTGACAAAACAGAAATGATATAGAAAGGATTTCAGCTAGCCCATAATACCGTGCAGTCTTGGCAGCTCGAGCGTTGGCCACAATACGTTGCGCATCTTGCTCTGCTGCAAGAAGAGCCTGAATACCTCCCCTGTCAGATGAACTCATCGCGATGCTTCTGGAACTGCTGTGACCTGAACCTACCCACTACACGGGATTCAGAACATGACAAACAAGAACACAGTCTGATATTGACGATAACGCTTCCTCACCATTCTCGAATTGCAACAGAAATTCTCCACCAAACCCTGAAAACCCAAAATCCACCGAAAACCCACCGAAGCAGCAAGCAGATGCAGATCTAGTTACTCTCGCCGCAACAGACCCACACGGGATGTCCACAAACAAGAAACCACACAGGGAAAAACGTAACAGACCCACACGGGATGTCCACAAACAAGAAGCCACACAGGGAAAAACGTGAAAAATAGCTCCGACGTGAAACACAACGCGCTTGTCTTCTCTGGAGCCAGGTTCCTCGACGAGCAACTGAAGCCAACAGATTGGCGACCTTCCATTGGCCGGCTCCATCGTCTGCCGGGTATAGTTTACGTCATACTCCGAACCTAGTCCAATATCCTCCGAAGGGTTTTCTGTGCACGAGGTTCTCAATCGTCCACAATCCGATCTGCTGTACAGAGGAGGGGCTTTCCCGTTCTGGCCAAGGGAAGTTCTGGAACGTCCGCATACCTTCGGTGGGGTTAAGTCACTCTCCCGGCTGATCGGTTTGTACTGGCGTTGCATCCTCGATGGGTGGGCTCTGTGGGCCATCTGGGTTTCATGAAGCGGCGGGGAAGGCCAGCGCGAAATGGGGTTCAGAATTTTGAGTACATTGTACAGTGTTTTAATGAGATTAGCAAGATCCAGGGTGCGCAGTTTTGGACTGGATTAAGGAGATCAGCTGAATCGCTGCGGATTCCATGGCGTCGAGGGCGGTTTGATTGTAGATAATTTCGCCCATGACAGTTTCGTGAGCTCGATTGGGTTGTTGAGGAGTTGAGGAAGAGACGCGAGGACTTTTGCTTACGCAATTGATCGGACTGCGTTGAGCATAGTGTTGTGAAGAAGTTTGGAGTAGGTTGGAGTGGGTCGTTGGCGGATTAGAGGTACGGTTCGTTTGTTGAGAGGGGATAAAAGAAACGTGAAATTAAAGGGCATTTTGAGTGACGAACAAATTCTCAGAGGACATGCAGTGAAGCTTGTGTACAATAATAGCTTTTGTAGTTGTGCGAATTCTCTCTCGCTCGCTTTTTCGTCTTCGAACCTTTATATGTTTCGAACAAGACATCATCTGATATTCCAGTGGTCCTCTATTGTGGCTGCACCCTAAAATGATGTCGCAAGTTTCAGAGATTTTAGAATGTTGAAGAGAAGTACGAGTGTGTGTGTGTGTGTGTGTTTCTTTCTTTCGAATTAGCCTTTAATTTCGGTTTTGGGGTGATTGTTACGGAATTGTAATAAGATTAGACACCAGGACTTCATTGTTTAGTTCTGTAATTGAGAGTTTCTTTCAAAGAATTTCCAAAAAGAATGGCAAGGCCGAGGCGGCGATTCCAGAGCAATAGCATGCTGTATATGATGGCGATGCACGCCGCCACAAATTTACTGCAACAGCCAAGGAAGCCTGTGGTGACGGCGGCACTTATAGCTGCGCAGACTTTGATTCACTTACGGCCTGGAAAGCTTGATGCCATCCTTCCGACGTTGTCTGAAGTTTGCCTTAATCCATATTTCGTCGTTAAGGTGAGTGACTTTCGTTTTCAACTTCATTTTACGTTTCTTTTGCTTCATCGCATACGAATTTTGTGAGGTACACTCGGTCTACGTTTTTGTATGCTAATGTCCTGGCTCTGTAGAACACGAATTAGAAGTTCTGCGGTTATGATCTTGCATCATCCAGCTTTATTTTACGATGGGCTAGGAGATTGCTGCTACGTGCTTTGATTCGTAGTTTGTAGTCGTAGAATGTAATAAGGATTCCAATGCGTCGCGTTTGGACGACCTCCTGGTTGCAGTTATTAGGTTTTAGATAATTAAACTAACTGAGATTCATTTTCAACTGAAGTTGTCTAATTTGCAACTTCTTTCCCATGCTTATTTCAGTCATGTTTTAATGATCGTTGTTTAAATATTTTTCTCTGAATGCAGAACCGGGACTTGAAGCGGCTGTGGTTATCTGCATTGTATCATGTCGATGAAACACATCTCGTCTACAACATGATATCTTTAACGTGGAAAGGCATTCAATTGGAGAATTCTATGGGGAGCCAAAATTATGCAGCGATGGTGGCTGTGCTGCTTGGTCTCTCCTCCAGCCTTGTTGTAGCTTCATCCTCATTCCTCGCATTCATAGCAGACTCTCCCACCTCCTTTTACTCGGAATGCTCCGTGGGGTTTTCAGGTGTTCTGTTTGCACTGAAGGTGGTGCTCAACTACAATTCTCCGACCCACACCAACGTATACGGAATCCTTGTACCCTCTCGCTACGCTGCTTGGGTGGAGCTTCTCGTAATTCAGATGTTCGTCCCTGGGACCTCCTTCCTCGGCCACCTCTGTGGCATCCTGGCAGGACTCATATACGTAAACACTCCTGGAGTCGTTTCTGGCACTCTCAGCATGTGGGGTGTGCTGCCAATGATGCTGGGAGCCTTGTCATGGCCCGTGAGGCAACTCGGTCGGTTCGTGCGGGGATCCAGCGGTCGCACATTCGGCCGTGGAACTGTTGGATCCTCACGAGCCACTCGCCCCGCCTCAAGTCCTTTAAGGGATCGAGAAGGTAGCGTGTGGCGATGCGAGGCTTGTACTTACGACAACAGCACCGTCGTGGATACTTGCGACATGTGTGGTACGCGTCGTGGCAGGGATGTGAGATCTGAAGCTGGCGATGCAAGGAGAGGCACGTCGAACTCGCCCATGTCTAGAGAAGAGCTGCGACAGGCTCGCCTGTCCCGCTTCAACAGATAACCACTCAGCTCGTGCTTCCCTTACTCAGCCAGAATTCAGCCACCACAAGGAAGAGCTCAACAAGGCCATGTACAAATCTACAAGACGATCCTCGCATTCTCGATCCCGTCTTCGCAAATGGATCAACGAATCCGTAGAATGGAGGAGACGGCAGAGGGAACAGGGGAGAAGCTATAGCGTGGCACATACAGAGGTGGACTGTTGCGCCGGTGGGTTTGCTCCTCAGCAATGTGGCGGGCCCCGGTATATACCGGTAGCCGGTAGCTGAGGTCTCTTGTGTATTTCGTGGAAGTTCTATTGCTTTTTGAAGTGGCGCGAAGGTTGTGGATTCTATTCTTTCATTATTGTTCTTCAGGTCTTTAAATTTTTATTTTTTATGTAATTTTGATGTAATTTAAAATTAGTTATCAAATTAAAAACCTTACATTAAAAAATGCACTAATGAGTTGAAGCAAATTAATGTGTTTGTTAACGGTATTGTGCTGAATGACTTTTTTATTTTATTTTTCTTTATTTTTTTAAGTATATGTAATGAATATATTAAGATCAAAACCTCAGTTTGCATGCATATAATTTGTGTGTGTGTGTGTGTATATGTATAATATAATTATTTCCATGTGTGTATAAATGCATGTTTCTTATGTTTCAAGTGTGCAAGGAAGAAATAAATAAATATATATATATATATATATACACATACAGAGATGAGAAGAAGCTCATTATCTTTTAAATTGCATTGGCTAGTAATTAAAAATAAAATACAATTGAAGGGTTATATCCTTTGATTGCAAATTGAGTAGATTAATTGAATGTCACGAGTCCTCATTTTGAAATGTATACATTTTTTTATTTTTCTATTTGATGCATTGAATAATAAAAAAATAAAAATAAAAAAAATGAAAAATAATTATAACAGTAATCCTGTAGAATTTTTACAGGATTATGAAAAATAATTATAACTGGGGTAACCACCACCCCCTGCAACCGAGGAGAGGGTATCGCACGGTTACCGGGTAACCCTGCAAAAGCGGTCACCGAATACCGTGAAGTCCTGGACTGGTCACCGAACGAGGAGTGTCGCCGACAGCGGCGTTGAAGAAGCGATGGAAGGCAGCGAGGAATTGTGAATTGATGATCGCTATCGCCAGCCCACGCGGAGCTTAATCCACCTTGGCTACCTCCGATGCCGTGGAGGCCGCCGTCTATGCTGCCAAGTACCGCAAGTATGAGCGCGACTACCTGCGACGCATCCACCATCTCTACTTCTCTAACCTCGCTCCCGATAACGGTACCCATGCTCTCTCATGAAATTCTGGGCTGTTTTCTTTACCTGGGGCCCCTGGATATTGATTCCGCTCGCGATCTGCTCAACGCTGTGACATGGGTTCCCCCCTCTCTTATCTCGTTCATTGAACTGGTGTAGACCTGAGTTTCTGTGGTGACTCCATCCACCACGCCAAATATGTTGTGCCTAGCAATTGAACATTTGGCGGGGTCAGTACGTATTGTGCAGTGAGTGGTTCGGGTACGCCGTAATTTTGGTTCCTGTCATTTAAAGTGGCCTTGAGGGGATGCTTTTAGTAGTATAATAACTTAATCAGAGGTCACCATTGGATGCTGTTGTAAACCCTCATGGATCACTTCTATTCTATAGTCGGACTCTCGCATAAGACACCATTTTTCTATGATTGAAGGACCAGCTAAAAATGCCGGTTCGGGTACTGCTGTAAAAATAACAGCAAATTTCTTGAGAGCCGTTCGAATACTAGCGGTACATGCTCTCTTTGCTGACTGTGCCTTTCGCACTTGAGATCCTCTGGTGATGGATGCTGGTTTATTAATTTTTGCCGTTTATTGATGTTTATGTAAACTTTTCCCTTTACTTAATTTCTTATAGAATTGTCAATCATCCATGCTTTAGAGGTAATCATCTGATGTGTGTTGATCATGTAATGAAATATTGTAGGAGAATTATTTGAGGGCGTTGCTACCATTGACGAATTCGTAATTAAGAAGAGCAAGTAAGCAACGCGTTACCACAATTCTGATAATTTTCAATGGCTTATGATCATAGATGCCGCAAGTTTCTAAATTCACTCATTTATTAAGAGGAGTATCTTGACTACAATACTTTGGCTTATTTGACATGACTTTGAGACCATTAGATGCATGTGTTATGTGTGTACCTGATACCAGAGGTTGGCTGTGTCAGAGAAGCCTCATTTAAAAAATTCCTTGCATCATCAGGGCTTGTAAACAAGGAGTACTCAGACTCACAGTTCGAACTCATGGATATCGATACAAACGCACCATCGACGTCCAAAAAAAAGTCTCAACGATCCACTCCGGAAAGTAGTCAGAAACCAGCTAAAGATAAGTTACAGTAGTCATTAGTAGAGTCTTTGTTCTTCAAGGTCGGCCTCATTGTATATACAGATCTTCGTGCAAGCAGAGACTGACCGGGGTGTCTGTTAAGCTAATGTATTAGATATCCCTTGGTGTTGAACATACTAGTTATGTAAACACTTGACGAAGTACTTGAGCTTGAATCTTTCATTTACAGGTTATGGGTATGCACGGTGGTCTAGCTCGCGATCCCATTGGCCTGGTCAGAATGACATTGAAATGGAAGCATGGTTGGGTGTATACTTTTTACTCTGTCCTATTCAAGTTCCCGAGAAATTCGATATTAATAGTTAAAAACTTAATCTCTTTCAGTAAGTATACACATATGTATGAATCAAGCTTATCTTTATTCCTTGTAGACAATTCTCTAGTAACATAGGAGCTTAACATTCTCATGATCTCTCTCCTTTACACTGTCACTCTATAATTGTAACTACATCGAACTGCCGTGATACTGTGAACATCGATCAAACACCTACGGGCCACAACTCTTTTTGTGATGAATGAAACTCTAAAGTAGAATGTGTATGGATGTTCATCCAACACTCCCACTCATCCTGACACATTCTACGAAGAATGTAAATCTTTGTGTTCCTCCCACTCATTCTTCTCGAATTGTCTGAGACCCATTAAATGGAGCAGTCTGATACCAGCTATATATCAGCTATCTGATCTGATCTTTTGTATGAATATATTTGAATTCCATTAGATTTTGTTCATAGTGCTCATGGATAAGAAAATATTTCATGTCGATGTGTTAGGTTTGACGATGGTAGTCTGGATTCTTCACTGAAGCGAGAGCTGCTTGATTATCACAGTAAACAGTTGTGAAAAGATCTTGAGCATTGTTTAGCGAATGAAGGAGATGACACAACCAATTGGTCTCACGAGTGGATTCAGCAAGGGCAACTAGTTCTGCGACGGTTGTCGATGTGGTAAGACAAGTTTGTTTGTGACTGCCCCATGTGATCGCAGTGGAGCCGAGAGTATAAAGAAAACCGGTTCGATTTTTCCTGTCGTCAAGATCTCCACCAAAATCTGCATCGCAGTAGCCAATAAGGCGGGGTAGTACTGTTTGGGCATGATAATACAAACCATAATCTTGAGTTTGTTTCAAGTATCGAAAGATACGTTTTACAACAGTCTAATGGCTTTGGCGGGGATTTTCTTAAATGAATGATACTTTGTTCACAGCGTATCCGATGTTTGGACGAGTTATTATCATTGCATACATTAAGCAACCTACTGCTTGTCGATATGGGACGGCAACTGGAGGATCAGCTGGATCTTGATTTTTCCATAACTTGGTATGAGTGTCCGCAGGAGTCGAAACTTCGTGAGCGTCTTGGAGGCCAAAACGTAGGAGAATGTCACTGATATATCGATGCTGATGTAGAAACAAAGACCCCGAAGTTGAACATCGTTGGATCTGAAAACCAACAAAATAGTCCATGCTGTCGCTGGTGACTTTGAATGTTGTTTTCATGTAGTTCAAAATTTCTTCAATATAATTCGGTAAGAGTGATACGATAATATCGTCATCTACATATATACCAATGAGTGTATGAAGTTCACCATGGTTGCAATACACACGAGTCAGCTTCATTCGCTATGAGTCAAAATTGTTTTAGAAAATTAGAAATTTGTAAATTCCATTGTCGTGTGGATTGTTTAAGCCAATAAATGCTTTTTAGCAAACGGCAACAATGAGTCGGTTTAGTAGGATCTTCATACCCTTGTGGCTGGTCCATATAAATCTCTTCAATTAAATCTCCATTCAGAAAAGCAGTACCGATATCAAATTATTTAATGAGCATCTGTTTTGCAGCCTCTATTGCAAAGATAACACAAATTGAGTCATAGTCTATAACAGGTGAGTACGTTTCTTTGAAATCAATACCAGGCTGTTGAGTAAACCCCTTGGCAACTAAACGGGCTTTAAATTTTTCAATCTCGCCATTAATTTGATATTTAACCTTATAAATCCACTTGTTACGAATGAGTTTGCGATTAAGATGTTTTGGAACTAGCTGCCAGGTTTGATTTTCCAAAAGAGATGCATATTCTCAATCCATCGCAACTTTCCATGGTAATGAGTCAGAGGAAATGAGAGCTTCTTGATAAGTTTGGGGTTCGTGAATTATATCTCCCACTGTCGCAAGAAGAGCAGCAGATTCAGTAAAAGTTGAAGAAGAAACGGGATTAGACAAAGGATCTTCAGCGGGTTGCTCAAGAAAATGTGAAGAAGATGAGATGATCGGTGTAGAGTTCATTAAAAATTGAAGAGATTTGAACTTCGGATATAAACGTTGATCAGGGGAGTTTTCATTAGTAGTAATCAAAGGTATAATCGGCTGATCACATGTCGATGTGATTAAATTGTGAGGATCAGGTGTGACTGGAAGAACTTTCGCTGTTATGTCAGTGTGGTTATGAAGAACTCCCACTGCTGGTGATAATGAAGGTGAGATAGTGTGATCGTCCAATAGAAAACCTCCCACTAGTGAAGAAAAAGCTCTTGGTGTTGAAGAGGATGGAGTCGGAGTCAACAATGCATGATGCAGTGAGTTGGGAGCGATCGGATTTGATGCTGAAATGACCATGGGATGTGAATATTTGTTAGGTAAGATTGGATTGTATTGTACTGGAATGTTGACATAAGAGTCTTGTCTTGGATCAGGTGGGGAGTAAAATTCATATTTCCTTGAATTCTCATCGATAGTATAGTCAGAGCTCTCAATAACTTGATCAATAAGAGGATTCCAGAATCTATAGGCCCGGCTAGTTTGTGAGTGGCCAACAAAGTATGTACCGGTATTCTTTGCATCTAGTTTTGTTTGAAGCTATTTATTGACAAAAACCCAAGATATTAAGCCAAAAATTCGATAGTGCTGGACAGTAGGTTTTGCCCCGAACCAAAGCTCGTATGGAGTGGCAGTACCAGATGTTGATTAATGGTTTGATTCAAAAGATGAATGGCTGTATTAACTGCTTCCGCCTACAATTTTGGTGGTGGCGCTTTTGCATGTAACATGCTCCTAGCCATTTCGAACACTGTCCAATTATCTCGTTTGATGTAACCATTTTATTGTGGAGTATAGACGGTGCTGGTTTGTCGAAGAATACAAGGATTATCTAAGAATTGATTAACGAGCGTATTACAAAATTCTCGACCTTGGTTAGTTTGCAACGCATAGATATTATGGCTTGTGTCTTGTTTGACAAATTTGATAACTCGTGTAAAGAACGGTAGAGCTTCAGATTTTTGTTTCGAAAAATGAACAAATGTACAAGTAGTCACGTCATCCTTGTATAAAATATAATAATATGATCCGTAAAGAGAAGGTGTTTGATGTAGTCTTCCCAAAACATCTCCATGTATAAGTTGACCTACTGTGGATGAACGTTGTTTATTTGGATTAGTTGGGTTGCTAGATTTATGGTGTTTATCCATCATGCACCCTTCACATGGATGGACATAAGTTTCAGGTAGTAATAATTTGAAATCAGATAAACAATTGCTTGTACTCATTTTGTGAATTGTCAAGATAGGGACTTGTCCCATTCGCTCATGCCAAAGTTGACTACATGTATGATGCAGTATGAGATACTAAAGCTGAATCTGATGATGGCAATTCAAGATTTGTTTGATTTTCGATGTTGATATGGTTGGAAAAAATATCCGAAGGAAGAAGAGGAACTAGTGGGGGTATGACTTCAAGAGAGAGTCGATAAAGTTTCCATTGACGAGTGCCTTCAAGTACCTTTTTATCAAAAATGGTTCTAAACTCGCATCTGCCAAGGAAGATAATGGAAGTCAAATTTCTCTCCAAAACAAGTCCTACTGAGAATAAGTTCCTATTTAGTTGTGGTATGAAAAGAACGTCTCATAGCAAACCTTTCTGAGGTTGACCATCAATAATACAATTGATTACCATTTCACCACGGCCACATACCCAAAGCTTTGTATCATTGGCAATCTGAATAGTGTAGATTTCTTCAAGAATGTGAAGTAAATTTACAAACCAATTATAGCGGTCTGTCATGTGCTCACTTGCACCGCTGTCAGCAAACCAAGTGTTCTCAAAAGAATCTGCAATGAATGCATGGCTGGATAGAATAGAGGTTACTACAAAAGCAAAATCATCATTAGAAATAGAATTGGACTCATCTTCAGAAGCACCTGATAGGCATAAACTTTCAAGTAAGTTTGCTTCACTAAAACCTTCATCAACTTTTTGAGGAACTTTTGCATTTGGTCATTTTTGCTTTGGCTTAGGGTAGTGAGCGGACCAGTGCTCAAATTCGTGGCAATTAAAACACTTTGTTTGTACTTTTAAGTCACGAATGTATATGAGATCTTTTTGATGTTGTTCTCTTATGTTGAGAAGGCAAGAAAGAATAGTTGATGATTGAATAAAGAAGACATGGTCAATTTCAGAACTGCCACACCTTGTCTTCGTTACAAACTTTCATGACAAAGTAAACGTTCTTCTAGATTGTTGATTGTTTGTGAAATTTCAGGAACATTAGACCACAAGGCAATTATACTATTGTAGTTTGGAGGTAGGTTGTACATAATCTTGGATATTATCATCTTGTCAAGTACAACATGACCAAGATCAGCAAGTATGCTTGTCAGGTCAGTTATATTTTATATGTGATGATATATCATTAGTAACCTACATCTGATACTCAAAGAACTTTCCCTAAAGAGTGAAAACACTATCGGGAATTTTCTATAGATGAAGGGAACACAATTTCAACCACATTGTTGCACCTGTCGGGCAACTAGTGAGTTTGCCTAGAACTTTCTGAGATATTGATTTACTGATAAACATACGGGCATTAGCATTCTTCGCATTCTAGATATCAACCGATTCTTGATCCGCAGAATTTGTATCAGGTCACTTCTCTGATCCGTTTACTACTTGTAATACTTTCTTCGCTTTAAAGATGATCTCCATGTGATATTTCCAGATAGAGAAATGTGTACCGTCAAACATTCTAATAGAAATCTTATCATGATAGTCCATGTTGTAATAGGAGTGTTGACAAAAGAAATGTCAATAAAAGAAGATGCTGTAAAATTTCAAGAACAAGAAACAAGAAAAATTTAGGAAAGTTTCTTAAACAGAGTAAAGGATAAGGAGAAAGGAAAAGAACCTAGGAAAAAGCATAGAGGATGCTGAAAACACGCTTAAGTGATTGAAATCAAAGTGATAATCGTTGCTAGTTGCTCCTGGTTTTGAAAGTAATTAATATAATCCATACACGTTGAATGAGGAAATTGTGTAAAAAAATCGCAAAATATCACTGCCACAATATGAAAATAAAATGTAAAAAGAACTGGTACAACGATTTATCTGCACAAACATACTTGCTAGGTGGGCCCATAACCTAATAGTTAAAAACTTAATCTCTTTAAGTAAGTATACACATATGTATGAATCAAGCTTATCTTTATTCCTTGTAGACAATTCTCTAGTAACATAGGAGCTTAACATTCTCATGATCTCTCTCCTTTACACTGTCACTCTGTAATTGTAACTACATCGAACTGCCGTGATGCTGTGAACATCGATTCAAACACCTACGGGCCACAACTCTTTTTGTGATGAATGAAACTCTAAAGTAGAATGTGTATGGATGTTCATCCAACAGATATGAGCAGCTCTGTTGCAGCTCTCACTCATCTCTAGTGTTTTGTCGCTGTTAGATCGCTGTAAATCTCTTGTTTTTGCCGCTCATTTACGAATATTCATTTATGCTGAATTGAAACATTGTTTTAAAAAAACGCTGTGGTGGATACGGTTCGCGTTTAGTAGCACAGGTTGATCGTGGGGTAGTTGAATGTCATCCACGAGCCACGCATAATATGCGATCACGTATGGTTTAACCACGTTCTCGTATTATCGTGTGCTCATTCCAAATGTAAGAACGTGCACTTACAATCGTGCGACCTACAGAATCCTTTGACGCATACATGATGGAAATCAGTGTTCCATACCAAAATTTTACCACCAGTCTCACCTCGACATTAGTAATAAGCTGTAGCTCTGCTTTTGCCAAATACTAAAGCTAATTTAGCTCAGATCACTGTCACTCTTGCACGTCATGCTATTGAGGACGTAAAAAATAAATGTGGCATCAACAGATGCTAGCATGAACTAGTCCTCGAGATCGCAAGTAAAGGGTACAAATACCTGCAATCATTTACAGATCCTGACTAGAAAAAATCGACTGTCCTGTCCAGAAGAATGCATCGTTCTCTATCGAATCGGACGAAGAATTCTAGCAGCTTCTCGGTATAGGAGATACAAGCAGATGCAACTGCCCGGTGTACCTTCAGAACTCTACAATCACCTTTGTTGACTTGTGCAAGCACATTTGTCCGTGTCCCACTCAACTTGGTCAGCGCCGGGCTTCGCTTGCCCGTCAGCTGGTGTTATATTTTCCAATTGATTGGAACTGAAGCTAGTAATCACACTTCTCAACCAGTTGGAGGCGATAGTGGCATTGATACCAACCGGCAAATCTTTGTAATACGTCATGCACCGGTTCCAGTCATTGCCATATGGACAATCCGAGTGATCCAAATCACGCCAGTAGCCCTCATGCTTAAGGCCTACCCACGAGGCCAGATGCTTGTATATGAACTGTCCATGTCCAGCCAACTCCAACCACCCTTTGGGAAACATTTCCAGAACCCTGCCGCCTGGGCTCATGAATATCATGTTGGTAAGTTGTGCGCCGTGTACAGATACCAGGATATCTGTTTGACCCATGATTGACGCCTATGGAAAACCATGTTAAGTTCCTGATCAGATCATCTTGTGACTTACATCGATTTCAATACCACCGAACATAGAGAGAATCAATTGCACCAGCATTCTAGTCCATAAATTACTTTAACATGAATCTTACAACGACGTGTAGATATCTGGGTTACCTGTTCACAGAATGTGATGTTCGAGACAACCATAGAGCTCCACACACAACCTTTGACTTGAGCGCACTCACGAGCAATCACTTCCTCCCATTCCGTCTGATTCTTCCACTCTCGAGTTCGACTTCGAACTACCAACGTGATGCGCACGCGTTCAATCTTACTCCGTTCAAAGCTTTTTAAGGGGATCTTGCAATGGCGACGAACGACGCACCGAACTTCTTTGTAGAGCCCTTGCAGAGTTTCTTGCGGAACACCTCCAATTCCAGACCGCGAGACGACTGCTTTTTGGAAGCATACCGGCCGATCACCGATTTCCATTCGGTAAGGTACAGTGGGTAGACCAGCAGCACTGAAAACCTGGAGTTTCAATGACATTTGACATAATGAGCGTCGCTCAAGAATTTTCTTATTAAAGCGTTAGACCACACCGACGCCTATTTTTGCGGACCTATTTTTATTAATGTTTTGGAACGGAGGGAGGTGGACCCTCGGTCGTAACAGCGACACCGATTAGAGGAGACAGTACCTCTGAGATCCAGCCGCCCAAGTGTCGGCGCAGTTCACTCCAATGGTACAGCAGCAGCCGATCTGCGCGCGCGCACTGGTTTGCCTGCTTCCACCATGTGAACTGAACCAAATTGTACATGGAGTGCCACGGATTTTCGAAGTCATAATTCGTCTCGGAAATGAGAGTAGTACCTGTGAGGAAAATGTGATCTTTTGGCAGCGCGTCTCGCCACGCGTACATGTATGAGTTCCGAGTGCCATTGCTGGTGTCATTGCCAAGGAAGCACAGATGCCGTTCACGAGATTGCGCAGATGGAAATTCGTGAAACTGCGGTGGACCTTGTACGAGCCCCCGGTCTGGAATGTCGGATAAAAACCTAAGGATGCCTTCCTTAGACAGGTCCTTCAATGTTTTCCATGCAGGATTCTCGATAAGATGATTCACAAACTGCTTTTTAAGCCTCTCATTCTCGGATTTAATCACCTGGAGCTCATGCTTCAGTTTCTCCTCCGTTGATCGGAACTTCTCCGCTAACCTGGTCTCCAACTTCTCTGAGATCTTCGAAATACTCTCGGTGCTGCAGGAGGTAAGATTCCCTGCGCCGTTTTCTATCCCACCGGCACAAGGCACACCATGAGCATCACCCGTAGTCTGGTTCAACTCACCCAGCAATCGTTGAAGCTCAGGAATCAGCGACTCTTCAGGAAGGCGGTCGTTCCCGCGAACCACCCTGCTGATGACCTCCTCGAGCAGCCTGCGAACTTGCACCTCGGATTCGCTGTACGTGTTGAAATCGCTCAAGAACCCAGGAACCGCACCACCCTGTGACAGTCGAGGGAGCTGTGCATGCAGGGGGAAGCGGAAACGGTGCACGAAGAAAACCTGCCACAATCCAAACAACAGTGTGATGGCGAAAACGACTACAGGAAGGGTCTGCCAACTCCTCCTCCGCTTGCGCGTGTGTTTCGAAGGCGGAGACCCAGGCTTCGCCATTGTCGTCCTCGGTTGCGACTCTATTCTTCGGCCAACAGTGCGACCATATCATCACATCTAGGGCTGGAGGGTCTCGCCGCTTAATGTTTTAGACGGCAGTTTGTCGACCAGCGAGCTTAGTTGCCAAAAGCTATGGCAGGTCCCGTCAAGACCTGGCATCGAGACTTACTAACTCAATCCACTGGCTCCGGCCATCCGGACCTGTAAAAAAGTGGGAATGATGGAAGGGAACAAGGGAGCAGGTAGCGGGGTGGGACAGGACCTCACGGTGTTTTTTTTTTTTTTTTTTTTTTTTTTTAAATTTAATTAAAGTACGTAGTTCTCCAGAAACATACTATTGGGTTATTCAGATTGTCAAGCCTGATTAATAGAAGTATGGATTACTTCATCAAGCATCGTGATTGGAACTTGACATTGCCATGGATTGCAATAGGTTATTGCTTTAGTAAACAAGCATTTTTGGCATCTTATAGTCTTTACTAGTTGTTGTATGGACGGGAGTCAAACTAAGTTCAATACATGAAAAGCTAGCTCCAATTGTAGCACTCAATGTGTTATGTGTAACAATCTTTGTTTATATAACAATTAACAAGTGATATAGCATTGAGTGCCAAATTCCATCAAATATATATAATTTAGTTTGGTTAGTGGTTTTTCATCTATTGAGATTTTTTTGTTAGTTGTCTTTGTTAATGTCAATTAAGATTTGGACACTTAGATGGAAAAAAATCCTTGATTTAGCATTCTTGTCAAAACAAGTCTTATAAGTGATTTTGAGAGAGAGAGAGAGAGAGAGAACTTCTTGTAAGGGTTTGTTTTGGCTACAATGATTTAGCCATTTTAATAAAGTTTTAGGATTTTTTTTTATTCTTCATACCTCCACTCTTGGATTCTTCTTTTGCAGTGTGAGAGATAGCTTGACTTACTTGTGTATAGATTTCTAATCTTTCTCTTAAAAGTATATTAGTTGTGCATTTTTATTTGGTTTAAATTACATACTTTGTGATCAGTTTGTAGCACTCAATGTGCTACGTGTAATAATCTTTTTTACACTACATTTGTGTAATATCTTTTTTTAAGAAGCACATGAAAAGGTGACTAAAGAAATATTAAAATAAGATGTGAAAAAATCCAAAAGATAATTAATTTGAACTTTAGCCAGATGGTCTTAATTTGATGGTTGCATGAAAAAAAAGTTTTTTTTTCTAGGAATGCAAGTGGTCAAAACAACACCCTCCATCTAATGACTCTCTGATAACTTTGGCTAAGAATTCACCACTAATAAGGCAATGGTCCATTATGTAATTGGATATTATGAAACTTTCTTCTCGTCACAAGGCAAGACCTTAGAATGTGAAATCACCTACCATACTCACTCAAATAAAGTCTTGAAATTAGTCACTTAAAGCATGAATAAATCTCTAATCTAGCCTCTCATCAAGTTGAAAATCTTTATAGCATTAAAAGCTCTACGAAGTTGTTGGCCTTTGGATAAAAGATACTACCTACTAATTTTGTTTTGCCATGTGGAATACCTTCTAACATGTTTTTTTAGAAGTCTCCAACAAGATTTTTATATTAGATACTTTCTGTGAATATTTAAATATAAGTTTATTGTATTTAATTCTAAAAGGAGGATGTAAGAAGTATCTCAAAAATTGACATCCAATTACTTTATTAGGCATAATTTATAAGATACTTACTAAAATTATTGTCATTAGATTACAACCTTCCATCCTCTATATTATTTGTTCCAACCAAATATATTTCTTAAAAGATAAAAGAATTATTTATAATATTATTTTTTTCTTTGAGGTAATGGACTTAGCTATTAAATTTAATCAATCTTTAGTTATATCATCACTTGATTTTGAAAAGACATATAATAGAATAGAATCCAGCTTCTTAAAAAGAATTATGCTAGCAATGGAATTTGTACTTTAATTGATATTTTGAACAAAATCTTTATATATCGACTTATGGTACTTGGTCATATTCAATAGAGTCATTATTTAATTCTTTAAATTTTATAGATCAATTTAATAAGGTTATTTTTTTGTTCTTTTTTTAAAAATATATTTATAGTAGATTCTTTAGATTATATTCTAAAAAGAAATTTAGGAATTGAAGGGCTTTCTCTTCCTAGAAGTATTCATATTATGGATTAAGAATTTGTAGACAACACTAATTTCTATCTCACAAGTAACTTTGATAACCTTAATAAAATCAAAGAAATACTAATCATTTTATTTTAGATAGCAGAGGTTCAAATTAATAGAAATAAATTCTATATTATTTGGCTCTGAAATACCTCAATGCTATTTAGCTGAGGAGAGTATTTTAATCTTAAGTAGTTTTCTTTAGATGAGACCACCTATTACATGGAATTTCAAGTAGGTTTTGAGGTCTCAACAAAAACTCGTTTTGAGGCAACATTGACAAAGAAACTTACTTATAAGGACATTGTAAAACATTTTATTGCAAGCCAGATATTGATTGCCAACTAGGTTTTGTTAGCCTCAATTTGACATGTGGACTTTTTTTAGGCTCTTTATCTCTATTCAATCAATAAGATGCAATCCTTACTACAAAACTATATTTGATCAGATAAATTAGAAATCATTCATGCAGAGCTAAGATCATATAGAAGTTACTCATCTTCCTTCAAAAACTGAGAGAATTAAAATTACTTCACCATAAGTTGTAGATGCAAGCTTTGGTGATGAAGCTTATTATATGGAGATTGATGCTAGGAACATCCCTATAGCAAATGCTAATCTAACATCAAATATACTTTCTATGATCCATGCAAAGAGAAAATTAGCCGCAAAATATACATTTTATTCTTTTTGTGTCAATAGTATATGGATCCAATTTACAAGAGTGTTGGATAGTTTGAAAAACTTAGTCTTATCTATGTTATGGACTTAGTTTTCAGCAACCTCTAATAATAAATACCACAGTAAGATAATGTTTCTTTTGGAATGCCAAAATATTTGGTCTCTATAATTCAATGCATGGCAATGAATCATACTCATTTAAAAACACTTGGATGTTTAAAGAAATTAAGCAAAAAAAGATCTATGGTGCAAAAATGGAAAGACTAAAAAATAGTTGAGGAAGTCACTACCAAGTTAGTATCTTTCATACTGCAGTACAAAGTCTCAGCTTCCTAAACTTTATACTGAGTCATTGATGTATATTTCAATCTTCCACCTTTCTTGAGCACAAATGGATAGCAATAATTTCTACCATTGAGATCTTTGAAGACTTATATCAACTTCATAGACTGCATATAGGTGCCAAATTCACTAAACTTTGATCCAAACTTTTCTATATAAATTCCAAATCTTTACACGATATTACAAGACTTGAGATTTATTACATATAAGTCACCAAACCAATGGTGATCTCAAAAGAATAACAATTAATCTACCACATGAATTTTTGAGATGCATTTGGATCCTTGAGTAGATATATGATCTAGACTTCAATCCCTCTAAAATCCACAAATTTTTTTTAATTATTCAACTAGAATAGGATATAAGATTATATTAGCAATTAATCTACAAATAATTTGACTGCAAACCAAGTAGCAAAGGCTTAGTCTTTTGCAAGAAGAAATGATTAGTTCAATTATAATATTTTGGAATAAAAATAAGACCTCTAAGTTATAGATGTTCTTTTGGAAAATTAAGTTAAGAGATTTGCTTGCAAATAATTGGTATGAAGCCATAGAACTTCTTGCTAATTGATTGCAATATAAAGATAAAAGAAATTTAAAGAAATATCTAAAGGAATATAAATTTTCTTAGCTTGTTTAAAAGGTCTATGAAGTAGTTTAGCAAGTATTCCAATGCCTCTCAATTTAAGTATAGAGAGAGTTATTTACAAGAGTTCTATCAAGAATACATGATGCAACAGGAGTCTACCATCTCAATCTTAAGCCCTTTGTATCTGCTATAAATGTATTACACACAACAATTTCATAGCATCAATAATGCACCAGATTTCGTATATTTTTATCTTAAGAACAACTCAGCATTTATTATATTTATTACATAATTTAAAAAGAAAAAATCTTTATAAGCATGTTAATTAAGAATTATATAATTAATTACATAGATAAATGTAGAGAAATCAAAAAGCCAAAAATTATCCTTGCCTTTTAAGATACCTGGTGCTCTCAAGATATTTTTTGTTTAAAAAGATTATTATTTTTTTTTTTTTTTGCATTTAGCCCCCACATTCATTCATTTGCCAATCCATCTATGAGATCTATATTGACTTGTATTATATATATATATATATATATATATATATATATTTTAATAATAAACACCATTTGTTCTTAAAAAAATGAGATACATATTTTCAAGGTATAAAATTCCAAAGAGCTCAAAAAAGATTGTTAAATTTTTTTGACTTTGAAGTGTTGTGCAACAAAAAAGATGCTATTAGATTAGGATTGGAAGCATGGAGTAGCCTATCAAGATGCATGATATCAACTTGCGACTAAAAGCATCAACAAATATATGAAATGTGTCATATTTTCATCTATAAATATTTTTATTTGATCATCAATGGTTGGAAGAATAATCATCAACAAGTTTTTTATCCATGAATTATTTTTTTATCAAAATAAAATAAATGTACTTTCAACATAAGGATTTTGTAAAAATACAAAAAATAAAAATAAATGACATTTTTTGTTTAAAATTCTTAAATATTTTTGTTTAGAAGTTCATGCCAAGAGTATATAGAATTCAAAATTGATATTATTTTGAGTTTTTTTAATATAAAATTTGCCAAAGAATCCAATGATGTTTTTGGTTTAATAATTAAAAGTCATTTAGAGTAGTAAATATGTATTTATTTAATATTTTTTTCTAAAAATAGATTTTAAATTTTTTTTATATATTTTATTTAATTTGGACATATTGTGTCTATAAAAACTCGTACAAAAATCTATTCTATTTTAAAAGACAATTATTTCTTCTAAAAAGCAAAGTAGAATTATGTGATCTCCAATCTTGTCATGATTTTTCAACAATCGGATATTTTAGATACAAGAAGACTTTGGAGCAAATATGAAGAGATTTTTAGTATCTTCAAATTTGGAAGGCAATTAAAGACTTTGTACAATCATGCAATATTTTTATAAAATTAAAAATTCCTTGTCATCAACTTTATAGACTTCTTCAGCCATAATCTATTCTAAAACAACTATGGTCTTCTATTTCTATGGATTTTATTATGGATCTTTTAGTCTTAAGTTTATTTGATTTTATATTTGTAATAATAGATTATTTTATCGAGATGGTATATTTTTTACCATATATTAAATCCATCATATTTGAAGAAATAGCCAAGTTTCTTCTTAATAATATCTATTGTTATTATGGATTGTCCAAGGATATTATATGGAATAAGGAAATATAATTTGTATCAAGATTTTGAAGAATCCTTTTAAGATTCTAAAAGTGGATATAAATCTATCTTTGGCTTTTTATCCTTAAATTGATGGATAGACAAAGTATGTAAATTAAGTTTTGAAGTAGTATTTAAGTTGTACCATCTATTATCAACAAGATGATTGGATAATTCTTTTGGCAAAGTTTGCTTATACTAATATGATATATTTTTCTATATAAAAAATATCTTTTTTAGCTAATTATGGTTATCATCTACAACTTGATGCTTTTAACTTCTCAAAAATTAATAATCTTGTGACAAAAGATTTTATGAATTATTTATTTAAGATATATATATGTATATATATATATATATATATATATATATAGATGAAGGCATAATTAAAAGAAGTTCAAAATGACAAAAGACTAATGTAGATGCATGTTGTAAGGAAAAAGCTTAATTCCATGTTGGCAATAAAGTATCATTACTTTGTCACAATATTAAAATTAGCTGTCTTTGTCAAAAATTGCATTATTGTAAGCTTAGACTATTCTTTATTTGTGAACAAATCAATCTAATTGCTTATCAATTATATCTATTAAGGTGTATAAAGATCTATCTTGTATTTCATGTATATCTTTGTAAGTCATATAAGACAATAAATATCTTAAAAAAAAGACAAATGCCACCTTCTTCTATAGAAGTCGATAATAATCAAGAGTTTAAGATAGAAGAAATCTTAAATTCAAGGCAATGCCAAAATAAATTGAAATATTTTATTCATTGGCATGGATATGAAAGTAGTGAACACACATGAGAATTTATCAACAATCTTGTAAATGAAGCAAAGAAGATTCATACTATTCATTGATGACATCCATCAAAACTAAGATAAAGAATAGTAAGATCTATTAAAGATGATGATTACTCTTTATTGAACTTGTCTCTAGAAAGTAGGATAATATCATGGATATATATATTTAATTTAGATAAGAAGTGTTAGATAGAAAATAAATATAAATAGATTTGATATTATCTTATGGTAAAGCTTCTTAAAAACTCTATAGATGCATATTTGATTTTATATATGTTTATAGTTGACTAATAGGTTAGAAACTTGGCGAACAAGCTAGCCACATGTTGTACATGTTGGTAGCTTATGATATAAGCTAACGATGTGGAGTACATATAAAAAAATTGCCTTGCAAATTAAAGCATGTTTCTTACAAAGTCAACATACGTTGAAGATCTTATAAAACATTGCCATGAGTTCCTACTTAGATAGTATATATGGAAGCAAGAATGATGCCTTCTTCACTCTTGTCAAAACCTTTCTAGTTCTTGATCTTGTTTCAAGACTTTTTAGTCTTCTTGTCTTAGATAATAGCCATTCTAGTTCAATATATTACTATCTTTGAATAATTTTTAATCTTTTCAAGTAACAAAAGGGTGTATTGAGTCCTTCTTTCTTTAAAATTCATGTCCTTGATAATACCATTGACTACCATCAAGATGATTGAATAATTTTTTGGCCATTAGAATTTTTTTCCTATAATAATATAATAAATTCTTCTCATAAGTAATCATTGTTCTATGCAAATTATGGTTATTAACCATGCTTTGATACTTTTGACTTCATAAAAGCCAATAATCTTTTAATAAAAGATTTGAAAAAATATTTATCTAAATTAAATGTGATAATGAAAGCATAATTAAAAGAAGGTCAAAAACAACAAAAGCTTAATATAAATGTTAATAGTAAGAAACAATCTCAATTTTAAATTGGTGGTAAAAAATGGTTCTTTTGTTATAATATAAAGATTAATTGCCTATATGATAAGTTGGATTTATTGTAGATTGAGACCATTTTTTGTTTGTGAATATATCAATCCAATTATATATCAATTATATTTATCAATATTTATGAAGATCCATCATATATATTCTATATCTCTTCTTAAGCCATACAAGACAATGAATATCTCAAGAAGAAGATAGACGCCACTTCTTCTTATAGAAGTAGACAATAATCAAGAATATAAGATGGAAGAGGTATTAGATTCAAGGTGGCTATAAAAATCTTATAAAATTGGTGCAAAACTGACATAGTGAATGATATTGGGAGCCATTTAAGAATCTTACATTCAAATCCTAAACTTGAGCATAGCTTTCTTTGAAGGAATGGGCACAAGAATCTTTGATACTCTTGTATGGAGATAGAAGATGTCCAAAAAGTAAACAGATTTTACATCTTGTGGTTGTTCTAGTGTGTGGAAAATTTGTAATTCCATGTCCATAGATATGCATTATCCAAGTTGATCTATGTAACATCTTTTTCAAGTGAATGCGGCAGGTGTCCTGCAGCAGTTTGACTAGATTTGAGGGACCCAGGCATGTTCAAACTTGTGTAATTCGACAAGCAAGGGAATATCTGCAACTGGATTTTACTGGTGTGACGATACAGTTGGATCGTTGGCATGCCCAACAGGCAACAAGGACCAAAATTTTTCCAAGGTAATCCTCGTGGTTGTCAAGAGGAATGAAAGATCTACTCGAAAACTAAGTCAACAACAGATTGACATATCTACTTTCCAACCTAGATAATCTTCTTCCCACCTCCATTTTCACCCATTTTCTTTACCACGATCAGTAAAAGCAGTGACATTAAATAAGATTTTATTACCATTTACACTTAAGTCCAGTGGTTTCTTCCTGCACCCGGGACAACCGAAACTCTTGAACTTGGCAAAAACTGCCAGAATCTCGAGTCTAGGAAAAACTGTCCAGGTGAAAACACCTCCCCCCTTTAAGATTTTAGTAAACGATAAGCAAAATGAAGACTCCTACTTGAACAGGTCATGGCAACTGCATTTCTGACAATGCTCAGCTTACTTTTGTCTTTATGACCACTAGGAAAATGTTTTCTCATTAACTCGATTTAAAGCTTCTCCTTTGATTTGGTGAGAGCTCAGAATCTTTGCAACTCTAATCATGGTCGGCTACTACATGGCAACGATTGCACGATTTCTGCTATTGCTAGATCTCAGATTCGGTTCGGTTTTTCTAGTGTCAGTCAACCAAACATCAGCTATTCAAAAGTTGCGGTATGCTTTGATAGGCTTGCTTAAGCCTCTATCAGATTTAAAACGTCGCAACGGGCTTACTCGTTACTAAGCTTCGACGTGAAGTGTTTTCTTCTTTTTAACTGCAGTGCAGCAGTTTCAACCCATTGTAAGCGAACCTTCTTTACAGTCATAGTAACTGAGAGATTTAACCACGAGTATCTCTGCAAATGCCAACAAAAATTGAAACAAGTGAAAGCTCCTCGACTACCAATGCATGTACTCAAAGCAAGAATAATTCGCGAGATACTCTTGAAACGTGTCAGTGTTAGCACCAAATGGATACACATTTACAACAATCGTGTAGTTGTACTATTCCTCATCCTGACACATCATTTTCTTCAGCACCTTTAAACCAAAGCTTGATACTCATTTGCAAAGTTCGAAGGTTTCTCGATGTTGCACGCCAGACAATGTTTTGGCAGCTCTTTACCATAATTAGAGAAACTGATCATGCAGAGCGAAAAAATACTAAAAAAATAGCTAAATCTCTGCCGAAACCTAACACGAGTCGATTTTGAAGGATATACAATCTGTCTCAGAAATCAGCGATCTACAAAAACTAGTCGCAACACCTTCCTTGCGAAGAACGCAGTACTGCTACTGTTTTATTGTGTGAATCATCTGGAACATGCTCCAATCAGTTCTTCGATGAATCAAAGCCATAGCACTGCAGGTTAGAAAACGATCCACACGAGCGACACTCAACGTCAGAAGAAGCCATCGCTTGAATGGGTTAATTTTTGCTTCTGCAGACTGTTCTCTGGAGGATCGGTTGTTGTCGCAGGGGACGATGTTGCCAGATGGGCCAAGGATCTGAAAGAGTTTAACAGATCTAAACATGCTGGAATCCATTCGAAAAAATGGACTCCCTTTACTCATAGACATTCACGTTGATATACATTCATCACTTCAGTTAACTGCGAGTTAACTGATGTGTCCGTTTTAATAAAGCTAACTATGGTTTGCTGATGTCACCTAGATTACGTAAGCTAGTTAGGTTCGTGGTTGCTCTCCTAGATATCCAACACTCCTTTTCAACCACAAACCTTTTTCTTTTGATTTTTGCAGCTATGTCGAATCAGACTCATCCCTTCGAAGGTTATAGAGAATCTTCGTTTACAGATGGAGAGTACGTCTTTTCTAAGTATTACTGTTTCTTGTATTGCTGTTTGTATAACACTTCGTAGAATCTTTAGTTTGTGTTCTAATTGTGGAACTTGATGTGTAATGTAGTTGCAGATCTTCATCCTGTCATTTTGCCCTTCAAAGCATCTGCAGGATCACCAGTGGAGTTTTGTTTGATTGGTTGGTAGAATCTTTTCACCCTAAGTCACATCTTGATAAAGTTCCTGTTATTGATACTGCGATAGTGAAACAAGAAAGTAGTAGTCTTCGCTGTGCATCTGTAGTTAGTTCGATGAAGTTTTACGTTGTTAGAAGAGATCGCATTCCTGGAATTTATCGCAACTGGCGTGACTGCGAGGAACAAGTCAAGAAATTCAGAGGTTGTGAATATAAAAGTTTCAGAAATTATGAAGAAGCAAAACGTTATCTGCAACCAGACTGTGCGAACATTGATTAGCCTCTTGAACTAGTTGGGCTCCCATGAAAATCCTGTAATCCGCCGAGACCTCGTAGTTTATTGTGATAGAATGTAGACAGTGGTTTAGTTAATATATCAGCTACTTGTGCTTCGCTGGGAATGCAATGTACTTCAATTGTGCCATCTGCGATCTATTCTCAAATGTAACGATGTTTGATAATATCCTCTTTTCCAACAGGATATAGGATGCCAGGATTCAAGGTTCCCTTTAAATATCATAGTATGTTTCTTGTTGCTTGTAAGTTTGTCTCATGTGGTTTGCTCATAAAGCGTGAGCAATTGAATACTGCAAACATGATGTCCCACCTAGTAATATTCAAGTGAATTAAGCTCCCTACTAGTGAACAATAGTAAGTTGAATCAGTTTCAGGAGAATTCATCTCAACTTGTAATTTGACTCCTGGATTCATGGATACTGTCAAAGTATTACAATTCTCCATATTGAATTTTCTTAATAGTTTTGAATGTATCGTTTCTAGTGCCCTTGTCTGTGCATTTAAGTTCTCCACCAAGATAATTTTGAGCTTGTCCTAAATCTGTCATCTTATAAGTACTCATTAAGCTTGTTTTGATGTCATTAATTGTCTCGGTATCATCTCCTGTTAAGAGTAAGTCATCCATATATAATAATAAAATAGTTTAATTCTGATTTTGAATAGAGTAGAACAAGTTATGATCGTCGTTACTTCACTCTAGCTGCTTCTGCTGTAAATATACATCAATGTTTGAATACCATGCCCTGGGAGCTTGTTTCAATCCATATAATGCGCGTTTTAATTGACATACTTTGTTTGTTGCTGCTGAAGATGTCCACTCTTCTGGTACTTCCATGTACACATTTTCTTTTAGTATCCCGTTTAAAAATGCCGTCTTCACGTCTAAATGCTGAATTAATCATGTACGATTTGCAGCAAGGGCTAGTATAATTCTGATTGCCGACCATCGTACCACTGGGGTGAAGGTGGCAGAGTAATCAATTCCAGCAACCTGTTTGTCACCACGAGCAACTATTCTAGCCTTCAATTTCGGTTTCTCATCAATACTTAATTCTTTTGATATTAAAATCCAGCGTGAGTGAATGGATATAGGAAAAAGACCGACGGGTTTCACTTTCGAAAGTTCAGTTGGTGCTACATGTTGATAGCCAACTCTCGTTTTGTCAAACATAACGTCTCTGCTCAATAGGATTTTTCTGTCAACTGGATCATACAATCAATATGCTTTGCTCTTATCATCATAACCGACCAAAATACATTTCTTGGTTTTAGTATCTAGCTTTTATCAAGTTTGTTTTGGAATATGAAAGAAGGCTACGGATCCAATGATCCGAAGATGATTCACCGCTGGCTTGATTTTTGTATATCTTTATTTTGTTTGGTTTCGTCGGACTACGATTGATCAAATAGTTGGCTGTATTAACCTTCATTCTAGGCGGGTATATGAGCCTGTGTAAGATGCCTTCTCATCAAAGTATTTCGTAAGAAACTCACCTTCTCGATCACTGCGTAGAATATAGATTCTCTTCCCCGTCGCTGTTTCAGTCGTAGCTTTAAAGATTTTGAATTTTGAAAGAGCTTCTGATTTTTCTTTTATGAAATAAATCCACCTTTTTTTTGTTTTGTAATCAGTAAAGACAAAAAAATATTTTGACCCGTTCAATGAGGCAGTTTGTATGGGTCCTACGAGATCTGCGAAATTAAGAATTGATCTCAGATGCTCTTGTTTCAGAAAATTTTGGAAAACTCTTGCGATGTTGTCGGCTTGCCAATCATGAAATATTGTTTTGCTGTTCGGTAGAGTAGGTAATCTTTTTACATATTGCATTTTTGAGAGAAAATGAAGTGCTAAAAAATTCAAATGACCATACCTCATGTGCCATATGTTTAGCAGATCATTTACTGTTGTATAATTGATCTGCTGGCTTGATATCAGTCACCAAACCTGTATAAACCATTATGTATATCTATCTCTCCATATGCAACCACTTTCTGTTTGTGTATATTATCAAGAATATAAGCATGAGTTGCGGTGAACATAACCACCCTTCCAGTATCAATCAAAGATTCCACAGATAGCAAGTTACGTTTAATGGAAGGTGAGTAAAGAACGTCTTTAATCTTTATTTCATCATCATCGGTTTTGAACATAACCTCGTCTTTCTCGAGTATCTTGTGACATTCACCTCCAACAGTGGTTACTGTTTTTCCTTTGACTGCTTTTATATGCTCTAGAAATTGTTTCTCTCTTGTAATGTGAACACTACAGCCTAAGTCCAAGTATCAGTTTGGTGAATTCTGAAATTCAGCCAAGTCTGCCTTGAGATGTTTGCTTCATATGTAGGCTTGTTATCTAAATCTGATCCTTTAGTCACCATGTTCACGGAATGCTGAGTTGTTGGGCCTTTTCAATGGAGACAATTTCGGGCTATATGCCCTGGTTTGCCGCACACAAAACAGTAAACAGTTTTAGCATTATCAGATTTGTTCTCATCAGAGGCTCTGTAACCTTAGTTTGAAAGGTGTTACGTCCTCTCTGACCGCGATAAAAAAACGTTTCCTTAATGTCAATGAATAGGTTGACTTTGATGCTGGTGTATAATAGCTAGTGCTTCTTCAGAGGTGCCTCCCAAATGTAATGCACTCAGCTGAAGCCAATGATGCTCATTAATCACCTTGTCTACGACTTGATCGAAGGATGGAAGTGGAGTTAGTGTATTAATGCTCATGATCAAACCTTGGAAATTTCAAGGAAGTCCGTTCATTACAATGTTGACCATTATGAGTTCAGGAATTTGTTCTCCGATTGCTGCAAGCTTATTATGTAACTCCCTCTCATGTCGCAAGTATTCTTCCACATCGCCTCTTTCTTTCATCTGCATAGAGTGGAGTTTTGTGGTTAACAGTAGAATCTACGACTGGTCTCCACTTTGAAACATGTTTTGTAGCATCTCCCTAGCTTCAGCCGGATCTGGTTTCTCTTCAACATTGTCTATAAGTTCGTCTTTTACTGACACAAGAGTACTTGTATATGCATTATATTTGTTTTTCTTAATTCAAGACTTGACCATTGATAGTAGCAAGGAAAGTAGCAGGGGTTACTTTCATTTCTACAATATGCCACAAATCCTCCCTAAGAAGAAGGGCTTTTATTTTCACCCTCCATACATGATAATTGTGTTAATATAATTATAGCCCCATGTATTTAAGTAGCTACTTATCTAGTCAATATATACTACTATACAAACATATTCAATAGAATCTATGTATTTAATATGTATGTACCTAATAGAATATATATAGTCATAACTATACATTGTTGTAATATAACATGGCTAATAGGTAAAAGAGTGTGGAAATTATTATATTATAGAAGATCTTAGTTCAAAATATTATAGAAAATTATCTTGGAAATATAGATAATAGTCAAAAGGGTAGTAAAATTAAAAGTTCTAATATTATCTTTCACAAAATGAGCTTCTATTTACTTTGTAAGGCCATAAATAAGGCAAAAATAAAAATAAATTAGAAAATTAAATGATATAAGCATATCTAAGAAGAAGTTAAGAGTAGATTTTTAAAATTTACCTCAAGAAACTAAGAATTGATATTCGGAGAAGACTGGTTGTCAACTTGGGTCAAAATCAGACCCAGAGGCACAAAACTACACTCCTATAGCAATCCCAAGGTTCTTTAGGAAATCAAAGAATAGGATTTGATAGCAGACTTGATAGAATTTCTATAAGCATAGGTTTTATATGATTTGGATTTGTAATGACTTTGTAAGAGCTTTACAAAGTCAAGATTGTTTTGGATGACTTAGGTTTTTGTGAAATAAAATAAGGTTGACATTTTTGGTAATTTCAAGAGCTTTGTAGCAGATCTTTAAATAAAGTTTTTTAGATTAATTGTTATAGTTGTGCTTAATATGTTTTGTGAATTTTAGCTTGATGTAATAGTTGAATTGAGGATTATTGAGATTTAAGTGAATCGGAGTCTTAAAAACTAGAATTTTAGATCTAGTGAGGATTTCTAAGATTTCTTACAATCTATGAGTTGGATTGGAGTAAAAGTTATATATGTAGATAGTAGACTTATTTTTCTATATGTATGAGAATTTTGAGATTAATTGAATGGTGCAAAAGGAAGATGTTAGCACTGGAAGATTAGCATCAAGGTTAGAGAAAGAGGCCAGCCAACATCCGAGCAGATTTTAGGATTTTTTTCTATTTGATAAGTGTGATTGTCTTCAAATTTATTGTATTTATTTTTAACTAAGAAATTGAGAGGTGTCTAAAATTTTAAATAAGATCAAGAGTTTAATCAAAAGATATTGAGGTTCTAAACTACCTTAGGATTTGGTTTAGGATTTAGGATTTGATTAGGGTTTGATTTAGATTTTAGAGTTTGTATAGGATTTGATTTAGGATTTAAGATTTAATTAGGATTTGATTTAGGATTTAGGATTTGATTAGGATTTGGTTAGAATTTGATTAGGATTTGATTTAAGGTTTAGAGATTGATTTAAGATTTAAAATTTGGTTTAAGATTTAGGATTTGGTTAAGATTTGGTTTAGAGTTTGATTTAGGTTTTAGGATTTTTCTAAGGTTTGATTTAAGCTTTAAGGTTTCTCTAGGATTTAGTTTAGGGTTTAGAGTTTGGTTACGATTTGATTATAGTTTGAGATTTGTCTAGGATTTAGTTAGGATTTGGTTTAGTATTTAGAATTTGTCTAGGATTTGGTTTAAGATTTAGGATTTGATTAGGATTGGATTTAGAGTTTAAGATTTGTCATAGGTTTGATTTAGAATTTAGAATTTATTTAGAATTTGATTTAGGATTTAAAATTTTCCTAAGGTTTGATTGAAGTCCATTAAGGTTTCAACTAGGATTAAATTAGAACTTCTTGGAGATTTATTTAAGGTATATTGTGATTATTTTAATATTTTTTAGGGCTTCTTAAGGATTCTTTTAAGGTTTATTGTGGATTATCTTTCAAGTCTTTTAAAAAAATTTATTTTTTCTTTTATAATTTCTTTAAGGTTTCTTTTGAATTTGGTTAAAGCTTGTTTAATATTATTAAGATTTAATTAGAGTTTATTTAGTATTCTATTAGAATTAAGATTTTATTATTGCAATTTCCATTCTACCTTCCACACCCTGGT